GAATTAAGTACAGTACTTAGTTCCAGTAATATCCTAAAATAGTTGAGTAACTAAAAATTTTATTTTTAATGTCTTCAGGAACAATTAAAAAATACATGTGAAAGAAACATAAGGATTGTGTTATCAGTGGAACACTCAAGATCAGGCATGGCCAACATACAACCCATGGACTGGATCCGGCCCATCTAATGAATCTATGTGGCCCGTGATTAATCTTTCAATATTAGCCAATTAAGTTTGAAAATCTTGACGAAAAATTCTGACACCTAAAAAAAAGAAAAAAAAAAAAGGTCAACAACTAACTGGGCGTTTAGAGTTAACGCTCCATTACAAATGTCTTCAGCACAGCGTAGAATGTTGATAATACATGATAATGTGAAAAATGTATCTGTAATCTCTATGTACCTGTACAATTTAGTCTTTACGGGGTGATAGCACAATGAGATCTCGCACCACCTCAAAATCTTGCTAGGGCAGCCTCTGGTTTAGCTCGTGAAAAAACTTTTCTTTCCAATTCAGCCTGGGGGCAAAAACTGTTGGCCACCCCTGAGATAGCCAATGCTAATAACATTTGTTCAATGAACAGTTTTTCTCAATGAAACATTAGGTGGTGTAGAAAGATTATTTTTTGATATTTCAAACAAATTCAATTATTGCTTTGTTCTTTGTTGGTACTACTAACAAAATTTCTAATACAAGAACATGATCTTTTATTCAAAATTCTGAAAATCAAAGTTTCAGAGGTGTGAGATATTTTCTGTTTTTGGATTTTGAAGACTGAAAGGATGGTGGAAAGTCATAAGAAGCAGAAAAGAATGCATGACATTATTAATAGTGGAGAAGATAGTTATTACAAAAATTTAATCAAAAGATGTCATTACCAAATAAAAAACATCCAAATTCTGAAATGTCTTACTAGACAAATGAGTAGAATATTAATTGCAATGGCAGGCCTAATGTCATTTTCAAGAATTAGTGTTTTACATTAATTCTCCATAAAAAGAGGAATATATCAGTGTGAATTAATGAATATATATGCTTTTCTCTGAAATATCTATTTTAAAAACAGTCAGGTGTTTCTGATGCATGTTGTTGTGCATATGGAATGATAATTGTACATATACAGAATGTAGTGCATGTAGATGATAGAAATACAACATATACTGAAAAGAAAAATGAATGCTAATTAACTGAATTAATAAATGAAATATTAATAATAAAAGTTCCACTATGTACTAAACTAATAAACCAGCAAAACAACAACTCACTTTGGAAAGTGAAGGACATCTTCCTGAAGATATCTTTTAAAAATGGACAAAAATGATCCATGATGGAAACTTTCCAAAGTGAGTTATTCTTTTGCTGGTTTATTGGTTTAGTGATATAATAAAAGTTCCACTATTAATATTAACCAGTAATTGGTTGTTGTTTTCTAAGAAATATTTGCTCTACTTCTGTAAAACAATAAGCAATTATTTATTGTGACATTGTCACAATGCCAGGCTGCAATTTTTAATCATATTCTTAATTTATTTAATTTAAAATATATGCTCTCCATCTCAAATTAGTAGTGTCTTGCCCCTGTGCATCATACTTTTCTGTTAGCAATGGTGTATAAAATGATGTTGTGATGATGGTGGTGTAAAATGTTCCCATTTACACGATCTAAAAGAACACAGTACACACTTCCTTTCTAACAATAACAACACACCAATTGCTACAAAACTTGGCAGTTATGTTTACACACTTCTAACTTAGATAATGTACATTCCACCTCAAAATATTAACAGGATTTCTGTAAATCAACTAATTTCTATCTACATTCAATTTTCCTGACTTTACACACACCTATTAGCAAAAAAATACACACACATCTATTAGCAAAAAATTTAAGAAAATAATAAACTAAATATAATTCTTACAAAAAAGGATATAATTTTTAAAAATATATATAATTATAAATTTTTAAAATTTTCCACATCTAACAATTTGGATTTTTCATTTCTAAATGATACTTTCTTAATTAATTACTGTAATTAATTCAAATAAGTGCCCTCTAGTATAGGGTTTGTCGATTTTTAAAACCCAGTTTTGAAAAACCGGTTTTTTGAAGAAATTTATATTTGAAAACCGGGTTTTCCCAACTAAAAAACCAGTTTTTGAGCCTAGACTTAAACATAAAAATTAATTAATTATTTGATTAAAAACATCAACATTTTGACACAAAATCGTCTCTGGCATAAAATGAGAATATTGTTAAATACCAAGTTTCATAAAACTAACTACAAAAACAAAAAAATCCCCTACACCTATAAAAAGTGTTCAATTCTCACTACAATAGGGAGAAATCTTGCAACAATGGAAAAACGATAGAAAGATTTGTGCACTTAAAAGAATGTTTTTTTTAGCTTTGAATGACATTGGTGCTTCTCACACATGGAATGAAGCATAGTATTGTAAAATTGTAGAGATCTTTAAAGTTTTAGGACCAATACGTTTAGCAGCTGATGCCTTAGGATGATACGACACAAATCTTGTTGTCCTATTTATTAATGAGTGAAGGCATACTTGAATTTCTGTTACGTGAATTGAAAAATTTGAAAACTGAAATTAGTTCCAAGTTGTTACATGCTGTAGAGGTATGAATTCAAAAGAGAACACAATGGAATTAGTAACACTTCTCCTTTACAAAATCAACAGAACGTTTGGACAAAGTCTTCTAGCATATTTCTTCCACTAGCTGCAAAATCTGATATCATTATCTGGACAAATGTTATCGAGATTTTATCCAAATTATTCTATAGAAGATGACTGCGATGATGAAAAAGTAGCAAAGAAAAAAATCAAGCCATAGCTTTAAAAAATGATATGGAAAAATCAATACATAAATATCTTCAAGAACCTGAAGAAGTGACTTTGTCCAACCCTAAGACACTAAAAAATGAGTTTTAGTATTAGAGGGTGCAAACAGAAGAACAAAAAATTTAGATTTATTATCTAATGCTTTAAAGACGATTAAACCCCAGCTCAGTCACAAGTAAAAAAGTTTTTTCTGTTTCTGGCAATTTTGTGTGAAAAATAAGGACACAGTTGAGCAATAGATCTATAGATGTTCTTTGCTTTCTAAAATCATAATTTCAAAGGAAAATTGAAAAATAAAATATTTTGTAGGCATTCATTGTTATTCATTTTTCTTTATGGTTTTCTATGGAGTAAATTTTATAGTTTAATGTGATAATCTAGTATTTTCTTTACTTTTTGTTTTGTTTTGTGTAGACGTTTATCGATTTTATTTCATTATATTTTTGAAATCTTATAAATATCAAATAAATTAAAAAGTTTTAAAATAAGTTGTAAA